GATGAAAAATGTTAAATCGCAAAGTTTGAAATAACATGAAAAAATTAAACAAATCTTGTAGTGTGTTTGTATGTTTATGTGTTATCTAAAATTGAATTTGTAGGATAAAGACCTTCATGATTTATAGTACTAGCAGTCAAAATTTACTAGCTACAATAATTTTTATCAAAATTTTATAGTATTAATGATGATAATTTATCATATATATATATATATATATATATATATATATATATATAATGCATTAATTCTGACAATTATTTTAATATATTTTCCGTTTTCGTCCTGGGTAAGACGTTAAACTACATCCGTGTCCTGCGTAAGACGTTAAACTACGTCCAGCAGCAAGGCCTCTGATCAGGTGGTTTTGAGGAGCGTGGAACCACCTTTTAATTGCTGGTGTTCCCAGGTCCACCCTGACCCGGGGTGGTAACACCTGTTATGGTCCCAGCTATGGGCAAATAGTTAACTATTACCAGCAATACTTTTTTGAAAAAAAATTATTACCAGCAATACAATTTTGAAGGAAATATATTACCAGAAACAGATTTTTGACAAAACAAAATATTACCAGCAATAAAAGATTGATATGCCGTTAAACAAAATAAACCAAACCAAACCAATATTTCCGTTTATACGTTATTTTTATAGATATAATTTATTTAAGTAAATGCTCTTTTTTTTTTAATTGAACAATATTAATTATATTTACCGACTTGAAAGTTCGAAAAAATTACCTTATATCTATAAAAATAGCGTATAAACGGAAAATATATTAAAATATATTTTATTTTAGTTTTAATGCCATGATAATAGATTAGATTTAATATTTCCAGTAAGTTTTATGTCAAACCGAATTTAAACTGATTGGATTTATATATTTAATTGCTAAAATCGGCCATATTGATGAATCTTCAATCACCACTTAATTCTCTTTATTAAAAATCTTTCAAAAATATAAAATAATTTTCTGAAACTTTATTTAAGGAAGGTTAACTGATATAAAGTTTAATTAATCTGAATTAAAACAAATATTACTTACTTTCGGTTTAAATATCGCAGAAAAGCATTTTTAACATGGAGGTGAGTATTTTTGTGAAGTATTGACACATTTATTGATAACCTGATGATTGCGAGATTTAGGTAAGGGCAAAATATTTTTTAAATTACGAAATAATCTTTCAAATTTTATATATTTTAAACATTCTAATATTTTTATTAAATTTTAGCTACTTTGACTTTATAATCTTATTTACTAAGACGCTTGTAGAGGAAATGTTAGAAAATTTACTATAGTTGCTGTTTTTATTTTCTAATAATACCATATACGGACGTGTGTATTTACAAAAATCAGCACGTTTATACACACTTAAAAAATCATATTTCTTTTTAAAATACTGGAAGTCGCTGAATTGTAATATGCGTCTACATTTAGGATTAGTAAATATAGTTTTTACTTAATAATAACAATATCACCCAACCGCTAAAAATTCATACAGAATTTTAAGATTTAAAACTTTATAAATTATTATAATTAAAATTTAAAAAAATGAAAACAGTTCTTGTAAAAGTTCATTATTCAACGATTTTCTTTTTTAAAACACTGGTGTCCATAATTTATCTTATTTATAAAAGTAATTAAAACTTTTCACATTAAATAATGTCTTAGTTTTATTGCATGTTTTATTTTATGATTCAGAGCATATTTTCTGTAACTGGGGATCCTGTTTTACAAAAAAATAATGATTTAAATTCTCCAAGGGCTTGTCCTTATAACTAATAAAAAACAGGACACATGGCACTGTGGATAAAGGCGTTAGTTAGATCCAGTGACAGGACCCAAAGAGTGTGAGTTTAATACCCGGTTAAGGCAGTGGAGAACTTTCAGAGGGAAATTAACACGGGATAACTGATAACTGACATCCATTAAAACATGACACGTGGAACTAGAACACTCTACCCCAGTGAGAAAAATAAAGGGTTCAGTTCGACATTCCAACCACCTGATGAATGTCGGAGCGTAGAACGGCCAAAACGTTGTAATAAATATAGCGACAAAAATGAAGACAATAGTCCGAATAATGTAAATACTGATATTTGCATTTATTATATAGATGTACTTGTGTATTTGGGAAGCAATCCTTCTTTTATACAAGTTTAATTGATGTTGACTGACAATGTATTGCAATTAAGTTTTTTTATTATATATTTCTTGCATGCATACAAGAGATTTCTTCTTTTTTTAATATAGAGTGTATAAGAACTGTCCGAATGATATTTGGATCCCATTTATTTCGGCTAATATATTAAAACTGAACAAGAACGTCTATTTGTTTTTTGTTTTTTTCTGAACACGTAGAACTTTTTTTTTATATAGCAATAGAACAGTGCAGACTGTGTTCGGTAATTAAATCATTTTTATTATTCTAAAAAAATTACAGAAGCCGAGTTTGAATCACGAGCAACAACGATAGCAAAAATAGGAATACATAACTCTCCCTTTCTTACTTCCTCACTCTCTCTTTAACTGCCATACTATATATATAAGCGATGGTAGAACTCCGCAACTTCCTTTTTCATATCAATAATCTATGTATTGCCAATATTGTGTGTGAATTTGAAGCTCAATATCCTCTTTGAGATACAGAGCCTCCTCGAGGGAACATCCGTTTATCTGTACTGGCATTAATTCGGGGTTTGATCGGCGGTGATAGCCTGTAGGGTAGCATCCTCTGCCATAGTATATGTTGGTCAATGTAGGTGGTTGCTAGACGACCAGCCCGTCTTGCACCATGAGGTCAGGTGTGAGTTTGAGGCCCAATAGTCTTTCAAGGAAAGTTGCCTCCCCAAGCGGACATCCGTTCATTGTGACTGG